TTTTCAATGGCTCTCCACGACCAGAAGACTCACCCCCAAAAGACTTGGCCGGGTTTTTAACCATCACTTCTTTTCCTGAAGGCTCTTCAGTCTTGGCCGCAACAGAGTCGGCACTCAACTTGACAACAGCCGGTTTAGCTTCAGACTTGTATTTTTTCTCAGAAACTGGCGCACTTTTTGGCACATCTTTAGTTGACTTTGCCAGCTTTTTTTCTGATACTTTCTTAGGCGCTTTCACAGGAACGCTCTTTGATTTGGAGGTTGATTTGACAGCATCTTTAGCTTTCACTTCAAACTTTGAGTTTTCAGTTTTGCCCACTTTACTGGCAACCTTAGCAAGTTTCAACGGCGGATTGGTGACAGACTTAACTACAGTCTTATTGCCAGCAAGTGATTCGCTCTTTGCACGCACTTTGCCCTTTAAAACCGATTTGGTTTTGAACTTTGACTTGTTTTTAATCGTAGATTTGACCGCTGAAGGCTGCGCTTTAATGTACGACTTTGTCTTCATTTTCATCACTGAGTGGAGACTTCCCCTTCGGCTTGCTCTGAAGGGTAGAAACTTTTTATTTGAGAGCAGACTTACTGCCTGCTTTCAATTTGCTGTTGTTCTTAGCTACCGACTTAGAAACACGTGTTTTAGAAACCCTGGCCGCCTTGCTGGAGGAGACGTTCTTGAGAGCAGAAGAAACAGTGGTTTTGGTTTTAGAGTGATGGTAAGAGCTCTGTCCCAAATGATGGCGAGCTACCTTTTGAGCAGACTTTCCTCTCTCCTTGCTGCCGGAATGGACAAGTTTAGCCTTGCTCTTGTTCTCGTTACGTTTCTTCCCCCTTTCTTTTGACTTTTTCTTTTCCATCACGGCAAGGTTGAAGAGAAGTAAAAAGCAAATAGAAAAGAGTGATCGCAGTAATGACCCCGTTTTTCAAAAAAATCCAATTTTGACAAGCTGCCTACCGTTTCAAATGTATTTTTGAGCTGATTAACAGAAAAATTGTCCCAAGTTTGTCCGCCACGCAGTTCCTAAGATAATCGGGCCCAAAGTTGACCAAAATAAGCAGTTTAGCAACAACACAGCTGCTTAACTCCGCTAGATGGCATAAGCAGCAACAAGTGAAGCATAANACCAAAATAAGCAGTTTAGCAACAACACAGCTGCTTAACTCCGCTAGATGGCATAAGCAGCAACAAGTGAAGCATAACCAAAGGTACAGTTGGGGCCCGATTTTCTTGAAAACGCCTTGGCGGACAAGATCGAGACAATTTTTTCGTAAATCAACGGAATTAAACCTTTCTAACGGTGTACGACTTGTAAAAATTGGATTTTTTATAAAATCGGGGTCAGAGTTTATGAACATTTTGGGTCACTCTTTAACAAAAGTGACAAAAGCAAAATGTAAGCAGAAACGCCAACTCAACTTCAAAGTAAAATGCAAATGAATCGTCATTATTAGAGTTATCAGAGCAATATAAGAGTGAAGGTTTTTTACAATGCTAAAATCAAATTTTTAATTAAATGAAAAAACAAAAACAATTTAAACTCTAAATGCTGCCAAACTAAATGGTCTGTAAAATATGCAATATACAACAGCAAAACTTGTTAAGAGTAAAACAATTACACAAATGATAACGCCAATAAAGCAAACTAACACATAAAAATGAAAACGCTAATAAACAACTGTAAACTGAATAAATCTAAATTGAAACTTTGACTTGCAATTTGACAAACTCTAAACTAGACTTTCTACATGCTGAACTCAAGAACTACCTTACATTTTGAGAGAACTTTGTTGTGTCCCTTTTAGGAATTTAAAATTCATCAGCCCTTCGATCTGCTTGACAGGCAATGTCAATAAAACGGAGTACTAC